GGGAGAGGCCACAACGGTGAGAGGCCCGCGAACCGCAAGAAAAAAAAAAAGGACAGACTGGAGGAGAGCTGAGCAGGGTGGCCAGGATAAACACAGTGTCATTACACAGGAAGGAATATGTGCCCAGCACAGGCCTGACATGCAATAGCCATCAAATAAACACATGTTGGTGGCTAGGAGATGTTCCAGAGAGGCAGACTTCAGCACAACGTAAGTACTTTTCAAGAAAGCTGCTCAGACGTTGGTCCTTTCAAAAGGGAGGTGTCTGATGGAAGCGGTTAAGCCGAAGTTAGGGATGACTTGTTGGAGATGCTGTAGAGAGAATTCTAGTCTCTGACTGGGCTCCATCCCTTGTGAATATATCTCCTGGCTATGTAAAAAGAGAGTAAGAACCGCAATCTCTCCTGGGTGACTTCGTCATAAGTAGCTTTGGTGTGGTTAAAAGGACCCTCTGAGACCAATATGAATTTTAAAAAATGACTTCTAGTTATCTCACTCCTTCTTGCCCCTACCCAAGCAGGCTGCTTTGGTCTGTAAGATAGTAAGAGAAGAGGGCCTCTGGGGCTTTCCCTAATTTGTGTCTGTAGCCCTTAGATGTGTGCTGCGTGACCAAGAACCTCCTGGCATTTTACGTGGACAGGGTGTTCAAGGACCATCAGGAGCTGAGCCCCCAAATCTTGAGAAAAATCAGCAGCATTGCCAACTCTTTCCTCTACATGCAGAAGACTCTACAGCGATGTGTGAGTCACCAGCAGCATCTGCTTTCCGTCTGCCCCAGGGAGAGCCCAGGACATGCTGGCCCCAGTCAGTGTTCCGAAATGGATCCTGGACTCAACGGAAATTCCAGGCCCTGTCGCCCATGGGGAGAGCTGTTGGGAGCCTCTTCCAGTGGTCCCTCCTTGTCCAGGGCTTCCTCCTCACCAGACCCAGTTTCCTCATGGATAATCTTCCTGTGGTGACCGACTTATGACAAAGCATCTCTTAAGTGATGCCGGGGCTGGCCTGTGAGAGAGGCATACTGAGGATTCCAGGCTTATCACAGGCATACCCCTAGTTTCTTTGTTTCTGGCCCTTTGGGGTTTCCATACCAATTAACCTCTGGGTGGTTCCCTGGTATAGCCTCTCCTAAGGATCACCTATTCATTCATTGTGATCTATTAAAAACAAACCTCAGAAATAAAACCAAGCCCAGACAAACCAACAAAAACTTAGACCAGGAGAAAACCTGGACTCTGGCGCCATCTCTGCGGAAGATTTCCTTTGTAACTTTGTGGCAAGTTACTTCACCTATCCGTGCCTTGGGTTCTAAAATTGTTAGAAGAGGTCATGACCCCTATCCCACTTACATTAAGATTCATTTAACCAATTATTTAATTAACTGGCCCAACATATTCATTGAGTGCCTACCTAACGCTGTACTGGGTGGTGACACACAGACTTGGAACCTACTCTCCAGGCATTTCCAGGCCTGGGTAAGTGCAGGGTGACTCTACACGCAGACCCTACTGCCCCCTTCTGCCCCAACCTGGGTTTACTCACCTGACTCTCGCCTTGGGAGGAAGGAGAACTATCACTCCTCATGCGGGAGGTGGCGGTGAGAGTGAGCTGGGGTGGAAAGGTCCTCTGATGGGTGCTGTCTCTGCTTGATCACAGCAGGAGCAGAGGTTGTGTCACTGCAGGCAGGAGGCCACCAATGCAACCAGAATCATCCATGACAACTACGATCAGGTAAGGGAAGAGATTCTGTTAAAATGCAGGTTCTGGCTGGTAGGTCTGTGTTTCAGCCACACTCCCAAATTATGACAATGCTTTGAGTAACAAGGAGCTGGGGAGTCTGTTCAGACCTCTGCTTCTTTGTGGAGAGGCTCCATAGGATAATATAACAATGGATGAAACTCATATCGTTCTTCCTATGAGCCAGGTATTGTTCTAAGCACACTAAATGTATTAACACTTATTCCTTACAACAATGCTATGAGCCATTATCTGCATTTGATAACTTAGGAAAGCAAGGCACAAACAGGTTAAGTAACTTAACTAAGTTTATACTGCAACTAAGTGATGGAGGTAGGGCTCGATCCCATGCCATCTGGCTCCACAGGACATACTTTTGGATCTTACCATCTCCTTCTATTCTGCTGAGGAAGAGCTGGAATAAGTCAGGAGACTTGGGTTCCAGCTCAGCTCTTTTACCAGCTGGCTGTGTCACATTGAGTAGGACACATCGTTAGGGGCTTCAGTGCTTTAATTTGTCCAGTGGAGGCACCATCTTCTCCCTCCCCACTGCTGGGCACCTCTGGGATTGCGGCTTTCTGGGAGAACAGAAGCACTAAAGCAAACTGATGTGAACGGGAAAGTAAGCAGAACTGCCAGAAAAGCAAGTTGTTTTTTTCTGGGAAATATAGGAAAAAGAAAAACAGACGGCAAAGAATGAAGACCTTTTCATTTTGTTTATAAGTTGCTGACATGATTTAACTGCTTGTTTGTGGAAAGCAATTTAGGTCACCTATTAAGAAAATAATTTGAGGTCTGTATGCCCTGCAGATATAATGGTTGAATAAAAAGCAAACCTCATGGGGACCAGAACGTGGGGAATGTGATTTGAAAACTATGATACGGTCTAGAAAGGCAGGTTCTTATGATGATTTCCATGGTTTCAGTTGGAGGTCCGGTCTGCTGCCATTAAGTCTCTGGGAGAGCTGGACGTCTTGCTAGCCTGGATTGACAAGAATCATCAAGGAACTTCTGCTGCCTAAAGACAAGAAATCTAAGTTTGGGGGATGAGCAGCCCCTGAGAGCTTTCCAGTGGGAGACAGCCAACTTTGAAGGGGAGGGAGATAGGGAAGGCTCCATTTTTATGCAAATTGGGTCTTTTTGAGGAAACCTTCCTGCCCATTTGGAATTCTCTTCTCTGGGGCTGAGGTATTGTAGGGGAAAAATCTAGGTTTGAGCACATCTTACCGTGTAGCTACAAGTCTCACTGGCTGGGCCCAAGCTGTCTGATTCCACCTGAAAGTATCCAAGAAGTCTACTGTCATATTTATATGAAATATGTCTGTCAAAAGGTCCTGCGGGCCATCCTGTAGGGAGAGGGTGAGCTTCCGCCTAATTTATTGTGAACTTGTCTATCCCGTGTCTGTGATGTGATCTAAGTGGTATCCTGTAGTGCATATTGTACTGACTGATTTTTTTAATAAACTCTGTTCTTTACCAATTAGTGGAAGTGTCTTCTTATCCAGGGAGAAGGAACCATGAATGGTGACTATTAGAATTAAAAGGGCCTTAAAGAACAGAAACAGATGGAGAAACTGAGACCTAGAGAGGAATAAAAATGTATTCAGAGTCCCAAAGTGAGTTAGTGCCAATAATGATCAAGAGGATGAACATAGGGCTTCTGATCATGACTCCTTCTTGCTACCACTCCATTTCTGATCTCTCTTTCTCTGTGTTTCTGTCTTTTCTCTCTGTCTCTCTGTTATTGAAACTGGGTCCCATGCTCTACAAAATCAATAACTCACAAATGTTGATAGAAAGGAAATGTGCCTTCAGTCAGAATGCTGGCAATCTGGGGAGATGGACTCAGCATCCCCCAGAAACCACCTCCAAAGATTCTGCTCAGACATGAAAGCTTCTAAAGGGAAACAGGGAAGTAATCTCAGTTTATCACTGAGTTAGGGGGTCAGAATCACCGCCATCCCCTACTGTGTGCAGGCTCGTCGACTCCTCCTGATTTTTCTTTAGATGCTATCTTGTTCACAAAGTTTGTTCACAAGATTACTGGAGGGGAAGCTGGGGAAGAGATTTGGTCATCTGTCGATTACCTATTCTTCATTTCTATTTCTTTGATCTACGGAAAGGATCAACAAGTTAGGCAAAGTACTGGGTGATCAAAAGATTTGAAAGGTGTGCTAGGGAGGAGATGAGTAGAGCATTGGGGGTGCCTGGGTTAAGGTTAAGGTGACAAGACAAAGAAGACAGCTCTTTCCTGCAAAGAGCTTTTTCCTGCCAAAAGCTGCTTACATCTCTTTCTCTGTCTCATTCCTTTCTAGCTGCCTACAACCTAGATGTCTTTTCTGACCCTAAGTTCATCCCGCATGGGTATGTATGTGGGGTTGGAGAGAGGGTGTTTCTGGCAAAGGGATGGTTGTCACGGTGACAAAGCTGAATGAGTGCAGCCCAAGGCAGGGGGGATTCTCGGTAGAGGGGTTCTGGCCAAAATGGGCACTAATTTCCAGGTGGACAGTTCTCAGATGGTTAATGACAATAACAACTTATACTTATTGAGCACCTGCATGGGCCAGATGCTGAAATAAGTGCTTTACATGTACTATCCTGGGTCACTATCTATACTGTAACTGGCTGGCTGAAGCAACTTTTCTTTATTCCTACCTGGGAAAGAGATTTCACAGAACATGCTTTAGTGGACAGAGCAGGACCTCTGAAGTCAGACAGACCTGGTTCCAATCCTATGTGACTTTGAGCGAATTACTTAGTGTCTCTAAGTCTCAATGTCCTCTTCTGTAAAATGGAGATAATAGCACCAGTCTGCGAGTGTTGCTGTGAGTTACAAGTGAGGCGAAGTCCCCTCTAGCGCCAGCAGGGTGGGCGGCTGCACGTGTAGTGTAAAGAGTGCCAAGTCAGGAATCACAGTCTGGCTCCAAGTCTGCCATGACTTGCCCAGGGCAGATCACTACATCTCTTTGACCCTTAGTTGTCTGTAATGTGGATACTGACCCCTGTGATATCATTTAAAAGCCAGAGCATTACGATGGCCTAAGAAGCCCTTATATCTGCACATACTGCCTTCCCAACTCCCTTTCCTCTTACTGTGTCCCCTACTTCTTGTCCAGGCTCAGTACCAACCTACCACACTGGCCTACTTCGTGTTTCTCAAACATACCAGGCATGTCCTCACCTTAGGGCCTTTGTGGTTTGTGTGTATACACACGTAAGCTAAGGTAGGATTAAAAAAACACTCCAATGTTATGCACGAATGGGATTAATAGACTATTAAGAGGAAGCAAAGTTGTTTGCGGAGGACTCAACCTTCCCAAGGAGACCTGGCTGGATGTCCATCCTGAGCCGGCTGGATGATGGCAGGACCAGCTCCGTTAGAGCATTTCTCATCTTCTGTGACTCCCCAGGGTGTGCTTCCCACAGACACCTACAAGGCTTACACCTCCATCTCCTTCAGGCCTTTACTCAAAAGGTATACTATTTATTCATTAAGACCCCATTTCCGGGGCTTCCCTGGTGGCGCAGTGGTTGAGAATCTGCCTGCCAATGCAGGGGACGTGGGTTCAATCCCTGGTCCGGGAAGATCTCACATGCCACGGAGAAACTAAGTCCACGTGCCACAACTATGGAGCCTGTGCTCTAGAGCCCATGAGCCACAAATACTGAGCCTGTGCATCTACAGCCCATGCTCCACAACAAGAGAAGCCACGGCAATGAGAAGGCCGTGCACCAAAGAAGAGTAGCCCCCGCTCACCGCAACTAGAGAAAGCCCGCCTGCAGCAACAAAGACCCAACTCAGCCAAAAATAAATAAATAAAATAAATAAATTTATATATTAAAAAAGAACCCCATTTCCACCTTCAGCCCATCTTATACCCCTTTCCTGCTTCCCCAGCATCCTATTTTATGATTATCTGTTTCTCCACTCAAATGTAAGCTCCATGAGGATAGTTCAGTTTCTTCACTGCTTGGCAGTGAGTGTTAAATTCACATTTCATGAATACATGATCTGGATGCATTAAAATGATAATAACAGCAAACATTCATACAGTGCTTTCTACATGCCAGACAGTTGTCTAAGAAATATACATAATGTAATATATTATGAATATATATTTAATTTTCATGACAGTCCTATAAAAGTGAGAATGAAATAAAATGAAAAAGGCCCCCTCTTTGAATGTTAGCAATACAGATCATTAAACCTTAAGGAAGGACCTGGGCACAGAAGTTAACACGTGAAGTCACACAGCTCATAAGCAGCAGAGCCAGGCTTCCAATCCCGGCAACCCGGTTCCAGGATGAACTTTAATGTCAACAACAGTGTACAGGTGTTGAGCACTTATTACGCGCCAGGCACCGAGGTGAAAACTTCTTTCGTTTTCTCCTTTCCTCCTCACGATAATCCTGTACGGGAAAGATTATTAACAACCCAATTACACAGATGATGAGGTCTGAAGCTTAGCAAGTTTCAACAGCACACTGAGGGTCACGCAGTTAGTTGTGGAACTGGGATTTGTTTAATTAAACAAGGAGACCGTTACCCTTAGGTGGCTGTAATACCCTGGTGGGTCTGTGTAAGCAAACCAAAATCTAAGCACATAAACGCTTCAAGGTTATGAAATCAAAATGCTAAGGACCAATCACAAACACCCAACTAGGCTTTAAGCTGTAGCCAGTCAAATAGCTTCCGTTCTTTGCTTCCTCACCTTCTCTATATATGTCCTTCCAGGCTTCTGATCGCAGAGAGCTCCTAACCACTTCCGGTTTGGTGCTGCAGATTCCAATAGATTTTTGCCCAAATAAAATGGTAAAAAAGTTTTAATATGCATCAGTTTATCTTTTAACAATACCCAACGCAGGTGTTCTACCCCACCTTGAATGCATGGTGGACAAGAGAAGAGGAGCTTTACTGGCATAAGGAGCTGTACCTGCAGGAAAGAAATATGTTGTATCAATGGTTGTATCAACGTATGTATCAATGGTTGTAAAGTAGAGGCGGGGGAGATAGGGCAGGAGAGGGAGGGGGAAGAAGCACTATTGACGGAGGAGAGGCCCCACCCGCATATCTCCTTCACTTTCACCACTTCACTCATCTACCTGTCCTTGCTCTCCTTCCGGACTTGAAGAATGTGTCCTGGCTCTTGTGTAGTCCACAGAGGGCCTGGCACAGAGTTGTGTTTTTTGTTCTTGGTGTTGTTATTTTTTTGTTTTTGTTTTCACAGAGCTGGTGCTTCATAAATACCTGCTAAGGAACCAAGTATAAGATTCACTCCCAAACCATACCTTCTGAGTCCTTGATTAGCCCCTAGGAGGAGCCCTTGAGAAATCTAGGGCTCATCTTCCTCCGCTCAGGGGCAAGGGGAGGGAATCCATAGCTTGTGGCAGGACCACGCGTGTACTTTATGTATATGACCTCAATTAAGTCTCAGAGGAGCTGAGGAGGTCATAGGTCTCATCCCCATGTGACAGCAGAGGCATCTGAGGCTCGGGGAGCTGGGAGGACTTGCCTGAGGTCACATGGCTGAGGGACGGCAGGTCCAGAAAGTGAACCCAGGTCTGATCTTCCTGGCTCCAGTGCTCCCTCCTTGCTTTCTTTGGGCCAAGCTCTCTAACCCAGAGCCCAAGTTGCTACACTGCATGCCAGCAACACAGATCTTTAAACCCAGGTGCATAAAAAGGGGCCTGGACTTGCCAGCAACAAGTCTGTGAAGTTACCCACAAATTTATGGACCAACACAGAGCAAAGAAGCAGAGGCTGACTTCTGAATGTGTCACAGGATATTCCTGGCCCAGACGAGTCTGGGCTCCTCCTGGAGGACATTCTATCCCCCTTCCATCTTCCAGAGCAGATCACTGACAGCCACACAAGCTCAGGGCAGCCTGTCTTTTAGAACCACGGACTTGCCCAGAAGTTTGGCCAAATGGATAAGAGGATAGGTTTGTGTGAAATCCTGGTCCTGCCACTTATTGTGTGATCTTGGGCAATATACTTAACCTGAGCCTCCCTTTCCACATG